AAGACTTGGCTGTCTACTTTTGAAAAATCAGCCACTGAAAACCCTGTGGAGCACAGTTCTACTCTGATACACATGGGGTCGACAGAAGTCAGAATTGACTTGACAACAACTCGTTGACAGATAGATGGTAGATAGATAGACAGACAGACAGAGTCTATAGAAAATATATACTGCTGTATGTGGTGCAAATGGTTAACAGGCCCGGCTGCTGACCAAAAGGTTGGAGGTTTGAGCCTACCCAAAGGCACCTCAGAAGAAAGGCCTGGAGGTCTACTTCTGAGAAATCAGTCACTGAAAACCCTACAGAGCACAGTTCTACTCTGACACACGTGGGGTCGCCAGGAGTCAGAGTTGAGTCCTGGACCCCTGGTTTTCTTTCCAATAAAAACAAAGAAAAGGGAGCCCAGGTTGACACAGGACAGATGAAGTGAACAGCCAGACAGTAAAGAAGAGAGGTGATGTTTGCCAAGCTGCCTTTGGCCTTACGAACTTGGCAAAGGACGAAGGAAGCGAAGCGGGCAGGTGGCAGTGGATGGGCGGGAGCCCACCCTGCACAGCCTGGGCCCTTTTGCCCGCCTGGCCCCTCTGGGCGCAGTCAGCGTCAGGCAGTAAGGAGCAGGGCGCCCGGATTCCCTGGCCTCTCTATGGTGGAGGAAGAGCTGGGCTTGAAGATAAGTGTGAAAAAACCCAGGAGTTCCGGGGAGAGAGGTTTGATTTGTAGCAGCAGGGACGGATTGCTGACCACCCCATGCCCCCAGGGATTCCAGATTGCTTCATTAAAAAAAAGCAAGAAACTACAGCAGTTGCTGTGGAGCTGACCCTGAGTCCCCGCAATCCTGTGGGTGTCACGGTAGAACTGTGCTCGCAGGGTTTACTTTCCTTTTTTTTTTTTTTAATATTATGATTTAGGTGAAAGTTTACAGAGCAAATTAGTTTCTCATTCAAAAACTTATACTTTGCTTTGTGACATTGGTTGCAATCCCTGCAATGTGTCAGCATCCTCCCCCTTTCCACCCCGGGTTCCCTGTGTCCATTCGTCCAGTTTTCCTGTCCCTGGCTGCCTTCTCGCCTTTGCTTTCGGGCAGGAGTTGCCCATTTGGTCTCGTAGACTTGACTGATCTAAGAAGCACGTTCCTCACGTGTGTAACTTTGTTTTAGAGGCCTGTCTAATCTTTGGCTGAAAGGTGGACTTTGGGAGTGGCTTCAGTTCTGAGTCAGCAGGGTGTCCGCGAGCCATAGTCTTGGGGGTTCCTCCAGTCTCTGTCTGATCAGTTAAGTCTGGTCTTTGTGAATTTGATCATTTGTGCTACATTTTTCTCCCGCTGTGTCCCGGGCCCACTCCATAGGGTTTTCAATGGCTGATTCTGCGGAAGTAGATTGCCAGGCCTTTCCTCTGAGGCACCTCTGGGTGGGCTTGAACCACCAAACTTTGGTGAGCAGCTGAGGGCATTCACCGTGTGCATCAGCCAGGGAGTCCCCTCACAGCCTAGGAATAAGCCGGGAGGAGTCATTCCATGCCCCGGGGGCAGAGCGCTCTACCTCTGACTGCCCCTTGTCCCCTCCGCACCGCCTTTACCGGGCTGTGAAATGTGAAAACCCAGCCCCATGGGGAAAGGGGGGTGGGCTCCGCAGGGTCTCACACCAGGTGGGAGGCGGAGCTGGGATCCACAGATCTATCCAGCTCCAAAGCCCCAGGTCTTCACTGCCTGGAGCTGGTGGGGGTGCAAAGCCTGCCCCTTAGAGCTGGGGTGGTGAGGGGAGCAGACAGCTCTCAGCCATTCGTCCAGGTCCACAATGAGCCCCGATTCTGGACTCCCGGCCTCCGCTCCCTGCACCTCAGCCCCGTGTGCAGGTCCCTCCTTCAAATATCAAGAAGACTAAGACGCAAACATGGGGGCAGGGGTGGCTCAGTGGTGAAATCCTCCCCTTCCACGCAGAAGACCCGGGTTCGATTCCTGGCCAATGCACCTCACGCCCACAGCCACCACCTGTCTGTCAGTGGAGGCTTGCGTGTTGCTGTGATGCTGAGCATGTTTCAGCGGAGCTTCCAGACTAAGATGAACTAGGAAGAAAGGCTTGGCAATCCACATCCGAAAATCAGCCAGTGAAAACCCTATAGATCACCATGATCTGATCTGCAATTAATCATGGGGATGGTGCAGGGCTGGGCAGGGTATTTTGTTTCGTTGTGATTGGGGTTGACTTAAGTCAGGGCTGGCAGCAACAGCAAATGCCCAACATAACATCCATGCTTACATTCTCTACTGGTCGGGGGGGTGGACTCTGCTCTCCTCCCGCCAGTGACTCAGTGGGGAATGCAGGGTGGGGCTGCCCTGGGTCTGGAGCCCTGGTGGCACAGTGGGTAAGAGCTTAGCTGCTAACTGAAAAGTCAGCAGTCCAAATCCACCAGCCGCTCCTTGGAAACACTATGGCGCAGTCCTACTCTGTCCTGTAGGGTCGCTTTGAGTTGGAATCAACTTGACGGCAACACGTTTGGTTTTGCGGCTCTGTGCCTCCAGCAGGCGGGCTCCCTCCCGTGAGGAACCCCCCGCGGACAGCCATACGCCACGTGTGCCACCTCCAGCCGCTGCCACAGGCTTGTAGACAGAGCAGACGCTAGGCCCACCTGTGCAGGGGTCGGGCAAGACACCTTGAAAAAAGTAAATTAAAAAAAAATTTTTTTTTTAAACTTAGGGAAACCAACCTTGGCAGATGTTGGGCTTCCCCCGCTATGATTCTGAATTCCAGTCACGTGGCCCCCCCACAAAAGAGTCAATTATACACTTGGAGAGAGTTACGGGAGCTAATTTGAGAAATCAAGAATAGAAAAATAGATGAGATATGCAAACGGCAATGTTAAAGCAAATTAGGCGTTTTGTCTTCCCGGTGGTTTTTGGCAGAAACGCCCTGGGTCCTGGCAATCTGCTTCTGAACAATCAGCCATTGAGAACCCCACGGAGCACCGTTCCACGAGGACGCACGTGGGGTCGCTGTGAGCTGAACTTGACGGCCGGCAACTGGTTAGTTCCTGGGTGGCGCAAATGGTTAACATGCTTGGCTGCTAACCGAAAGGTTGGAGGTTCGAGTCCACCCAGACGTGCCTCAGAAGAAAGGCCTGGTGAACTGCTTCTGAAAAATCAGCCCCTGTGGAGTGCAGTTCTACTCTGACACAGGTGGGGTCACCGTGAAAGTGCTGTTCGGATGTCACACACACGCCAGTCATTTAGTTATCCGTGTGTATTTACCTGCAGCCCTGGTGGCACAATGGTTAAACGCTCGGTTGCTAACTGAAAGGTTGACGGTTCAAGCTCACCCAGGGGCACCAGGGGAGAAAAGGCCTGGCAACCTGCTTCTGTAAAGATTACAGCCTGGGAGACCCTATGGGACAGTTCTGTTCTGTCATATGGGGTCGCTGTGATTCGGAGTCGAGCCAGCACAGAACCACAATAACCACCTTATCCCAAAAAGGGATCTGAAGCAACCGTGCTTACAGCCCCCTGCAACACTGGCCATCAACCTAAACATATTTTAAGTAAGATTTGTTTGTTTGCTTGAATGAGCTTTCTGCCCAGTGGTTTAGAGCAACCGAGGGGCGAGAAACTTGGCAAGCCCTTGGTGAAGGCGCACAGAACTTTCTACGGGGTTCCACGTGGAGACCCCCCACCCCAGGAGCCTGTATATTGGGGGCTGAGCTGGACCAACGGGGACACGCAAAGGGGAGGGGAGAGGGTAGTGAGAAACATGGGGGCCTCACAGTGGTCACTGCACCCCTCTGAGTTTGGAAGGCAGCGGCCATCCCCTGTTGGGGTCTCTTCCCTTTCCTGGGGAGCAGGTGTGAGGCTCAGGATTACACCAGAAATCCTGGGGACCAAGGGCATCATTGTCAAGTGCAACTGTGATGACGTCCAGGGGTCCCAAACCTTTCCCTTACCCTAGTGGGTGGTCCCCACAGGTGCTCCTGGGAGCGGGGTCCCAGGTCTAGAAGCGAGTAGGGGAGGGGTGATGAGGTGATGAAGGCAGTGACGGGCAAAGGACAAGCGGCTGATCCCCCAGGAAAGCAGCAGGTGGGACGGTGTGCTGCTGGGGACACAGCGCCACCCGGTGGTCGGGACAGGGACTGTGCCCGGGGAAGCCCTTCTCAGGGAAGGCACTGATGGAGTGACCCCTGTCCAGGACCTCCTGGGAGGTGGGGACTCTGCCGTCACCATGCACAGGTTAGGAAACTGAGGCAAGGCAAGGCGGGCTCTGAAAGATCCTGCTGTGGGGTGTGGGACCACAGGAAACCGTGTTGCATGTGGACACAGGGCTGCCTGGAGGTTTAGTAACTTTGTGACTCTGTTCATGGCATCTGTGCCCTCAGTCGCCAGTGTTCTCTGCAAGCCCCTGCTGGTCCCAGTGAGAGGGAGAGAGGGAGAGAGGGAAGGAGGAAGGGAGAGAGGGAGGGAGGGACAGAAGGAGGGGAGGAGGGAAGGAGAGAGGGAGGGAGGGAGAGAGGGAAGGAGGGAGAGAAAGAGAGATGGAGGGGGGAGGGACGATAAGATGGAAGAAGGGAGAGGGAGGAGCTAGAGGACAGGAAGGAAGGAAGAAGGGAGAACAGAAGGGAGGCCCTGGCCCCTTGCCCGTGTCTGCAGGTGCTCCGTAAACACCCACCTCGGAGACCCCCAAACCCAGTCCCTAACCGGAGCAGACTCAGGTCTTGCTGGAAGTGCCCCCCATGTCTTCCAGGTCTCCCCCCACACCCACCCTAGTCTCAGAGACCCCGTCACGCCCTCTGCCTGCCTCAGAGAACCCCCATCCTCACCCATGTCTCAGAGACCCCCACCCTCCCCCTGACTCAGAGACCCCGTCACGCCCTCTGCCTGCCTCAGAGAACCCCCATCCTCACCCATGTCTCAGAGACCCCCACCCTCCCCCTGACTCAGAGACCCCCTCACACCCTCTCCCTGTCTCAGAGACCCCCCCCCCCCCCCCCCCCCCCCCCCCCCCCCCCCCCTGTCTAGAGCCCCCGCTGAGCCGCCGGGCGCACCATGGAGCGGTACCTGTCCAAGCCCGACAACGCCACGCTGCAGATGCTGCGCAGCCCGACCATCGCCGTGGTCCTGCCGGCCGTGTACTCGCTGGTGGCGCTCATCAGCATCCCGGGCAACCTCTTGTCGCTGTGGGTGCTGTGCCGCCACATCGGGCCGCGCTCGCCTTCCATCATCTTCATGATCAACCTCAGCCTCACGGACCTGGCGCTGGCGCTGGTGCTGCCCTTCCAGATCCACTACCACTGCAATCGCCACCACTGGGTCTTCGGCGTGCTGCTCTGCAACGTGGTCACGGTGGCCTTCTACGCCAACATGTACTCCAGCATCCTCACCATGACCTGCATCAGCGTGGAGCGCTTCCTGGGCGTCGTGTACCCGCTGTCGGCCGCGCGCTGGCGCCGTCGCCGCTACGCGGTGGCCGCCTGCGCCGGCCTCTGGCTGCTGCTGCTGGCCGCGCTGTCGCCGCTGGCGCGCACCGACCTCACCTACGAGGTGGAGGCGCTGGGCATCGTCACCTGCTTCGACGTGCTCAAGTGGACCATGCTGCCCAGCGTTGTCACCTGGGCCATCTTCCTCTTCACCATCTTCATCGTCCTCTTCCTCATTCCCTTCGTGGTGACGGTGGCCTGCTACACGGCCACCATCCGTAAGCTGCTGCAGACCTCGGGCGGCTACGGGCAGGGCCAGAAGCGGCGCTCTGTGTACCTGGCGGCCGTCGTGGTACTGGCCTTTGTCACCTGCTTCGCACCCAACAACTTCGTGCTGCTGGTCCACATGGTGAGCAGGCTCTTCTTCGGGCGCAGCTTCTACCACGTCTACAAGCTCACGCTCTGCCTCAGCTGCGTTAACAACTGCCTGGACCCCTTCGTCTACTACTTCGCCTCCAAGGAGTTCCAGCTGCGGGTGCTCGGGTACCTGGGCTACCGGAGCCCACGCGCAGACAGCCTGGAAACGCGCCGCGACAGCCTCTTCTCCGCGCGCACGCTGTCGGCGCGCTCGGGCTCCAGTGGGCAGGCGGACTGCCTGGAGGCGGTGGGCAGGGCCTTCCTCCAGAGGCAGGAGAGCGTGTTCTGACCCCGGAGCAGGAGCAGGGGACGACATGCCCTCAGAAAGGGCGACGGCACGGCGGGGAGCGCGCAGCCGAGGCCCCGGAGGTCTGCGGAGCGCAGTGCGGGCGCCGGCGGAGGGGCTGAGTCCAGTCAACGAGGCTTCAGAGACCGCCATGTGGAAAAGGGTCAGAGACCATGAAAGAAAAGCTAAATGGGGGAACGGCGCTGGCCGTTTTCTGGGGAGCGGTGACTGTGTGTGCAGTCTTCCAGGAGCCCGCGTCCCCAAACGGCCGCCCAGCCGTGTGGCCCTGAGGTTTTGCGCTCAGGCTGGACCAGCTGTCCCTTCCACACTCAGCGCTCGCCGGTGGTGACTTTGAGCCGGGGGAGCGGCCGGGTCGGGACGCACGGTAGACCTCTCCGCTTCCCTGGCCCCACGCCCGGCACTCAAGCCGCACGGGGACCTCGTGTTGGTCCCGTCGAGTCACGGGGAGCTAAGGTCCTGCGAGGACAGGCCAGACTCCGCCCCAATGACTCTGGGGCTCCTGATGCCCCCACGCCAAGAGCACCGTATCCCCCGCTGAGCCGAGCACAGTGACCTAGCCCGTCCAGTGCCGTGTGGCTGCCCCCGGCAGAGGAGACCGCAGGGACATGTAGGTGCCGCCTCTGAACGCTCGGAGCCTGGGACAGCGGAGGCCGAGCCTCGTGAGGGCCCAGCCTCGGCGGCGACCATGGGTGGCGGGACACACATGTACAGCTAGTGTTTGGGGTCCCCGCCAAGGCTTCTCAGCGCCCGAGGGGGCTGGGCGGCGGGGATCCCACCGTGCGGGGTTGGCCGGGCTGCAGCGGCGCCTGCAGTTTCCGCGCGAGGGAGCACCGCAAATCGGACCATTGGGCCCCAGCGCCTGAGCACCAGTCCCAACACCCGCGCCGCCCGGGAAGGAAGGGGACCCATCCCTGAGGAGTCCAGGACGGGGACCCTGCGGGTTCCCAGGAGTGGAGGTGTGGCCACAACCCAGCAAAGTGTGGAGAGGGGACATGTGTGCGAGGGGTTCACGGACCTCAGGGAGAAAGGCTCGAGGTCCAGCTCTCCACCCTGGGCATGAAGGGCGGGTAGAGATGTGGCAGGGGAGCTGCCTGCCCTCCCCACTATCATGATTGCTTTGTAAGAAGAGCAGAGGCACGTTTGTAGAAGGGTAAATACTGGCCCCCCAAAATTCATGTCCACCTAGAGTCTGTGACTATGACCTTTTTTGCAAAAAGGGTCTTTGAAGATGTAATTAAGTGAAGGAGCTCCATCAAAGTGACAACCAATGACTCATAACAACCCCATAGGATAGAGTAGAACTGCCCCATACGGTTTCCAAGGAGCGGCTGGTGGATTCAAACTGCCGACCTTTTGGTTAGCAGCCTGGACCACTGCACAACCAGGGCTGCAAATTGACAACAGCAACATGAAATTTGGGGGGCAGTGCGTTTCTGTTCATGCGGGAGGAACAATTCGGAAAAGGAGGCTGAGAATGGTTGCCCAACTGGAAGAATGTCATCCATGTCACTGAATCATACACGTAGAGATTGGTGAACTGGTGTGTTTTACTGTGTACGTTTTCAACAACAAATAAAATGTTAAAACGCACGGGGAAAAAAGTGAAGGAGTTCCAGATGAGGTCACCCCGGATTATCCAAATTGCCCTAAATCCAATGACAAGGGTCCTTGTCAGAGATGAAGGAGAGGCACAAGGCAGAAGGCCAGGAAAACTCAGCCATGGAGGGACGCTGTGGAGCACAGCTCTACTCCAACACACGCGGGGGCGCTGTGTGGGGTCGTCTTCACACAGAGCAGAGATTGGGGTGATGTGGCCACAAGCCCTGGAACGCCTGAGGCCACCAGAAGCTGGGAGAGACAAGGAAGCATCCTCCCCTAGAGCCTCCGGAGGGAGCGCGGCCCTGCCCACACCTTGATTTCAGACTTCTGGCCTCCAGAGCTGAGAGAATACATGTCTCTGGTTCTGAACCACCCAGCGGGTAGTGCGTAACATGGCGGCCCCCAAAACACTCACAGGCACGTTGAGCCACTTTAAAACTGTGATGGTCAACAGACCTAAGGAGGTTGTGGGTGACAGGTGGTTGCAGGCAGCCTGCCTTCCCCGGCACTAGCTCTGGGGTTCCTGCTTTGTGGAACTCAAGTATCCCCATGGGTCAGGGGAGGGCCTTGCAAGAACCAGACAAGTCTGTGAGGCCGGCATCGGTGACTCACCGTGAAGATGCCCTGCAGGACGAGTTGCCAGAGATCCCAGATGCTCCCCGGCTCATGACCACAGGGTGCCTCTGCCAGCACCCACCTCCGGCAAAGCCACACCATCCCCTCCCTCACCTGTAATTCTCGAACAACCTCGTGTCATAGGAAAAGCAGTTGCTGTGGAGGTTTGGAAATAGTGGTGATGGGTGCACAAAACGGGGAATGTAATTAGTATCATTGAATTGTACATTTAAAAATGGTTAAAATGGCACGTTTTGATATATGTATTTTTTACTACAATAAAATTAAAATAAAAAAAAAATGGGTTAGAACCGCACCTAGTGCCCCAGACATGTTTCAGTGACAGTCATCGCGTGGACATGACTGAGTTGCAGGGATGTAAAGGCAAACACATGAAATGTTATTAGACCACGCTGCAGGTAGTCGAGCTTGGGACGCTCGCACGGCTTAGAACTGGGTACTTGTCATTCACATCAGTGTCAGAACAATGCATCACACGTTAGGCTGAAGGAGGATGTCACGGACTGAGCTGCGTTCCCCAAAAACATCTGTCAACTTGGCTGGGCCATGATTCCCAGTATTGTGTGATTGTCCACCATTTGTCACCTGATGTGATTTTCCTATGTGTCGCAAATCCTGTCTCTATGATGTTGACGAGATGGGATTAGCGGCAATTATGTTGATGAGACTCAAGCTACAAGATTGGATTGTGTCTTAAGGCAATCTCTTTTGAAATATAAAAGAGAAGCGAGCACCAAAAACAAGAGCCAGGAGATTAGGGTCATTCACAGCCAGGAGCGCACGTCTTCGGATCCGCGGTCCCTGCGCTAAGAAGCTCCTAGACCAAGGGAAGATTGATGACAAAGACCCTCCCCCAGAGGGGACACAGAGAGAATTTGGACATCTAGCCTCCTGGACTGTGAGAGAATGAATTTCTCTTTGTTACAACCATCCACTTGTGGGATTTCTGCTGTAGCAGCACTAGATGACTGAAAGAGGACGTGGAAAGGATCTTTTCTCAAGAACCAGCTACCATATGACTACAAGGAAAAGCCTTAGCAGATAGAGAGAACAGAGTCCTTCTTCAAAACACAATAGTGGCATTCCAAAGACCACAAGGCGCTCTGCAAAGCGTGAGGCCCGTGATGAGAAGTTCGAAAATGCTCAACACCACATCCTCTCAGGAAAAAAACAAAAGTGCCTTTGAGTTGATTCTGACTCATGGCGGCCTCATGTGTGTCAGAGTAGAACTGTGCTCCATGGGGTTTCAATGGCTGGTTTTTTGGCAGGAGATTGCCAGGCTTTTCTTCTGAGGCACTGTTGGGTGGACTTGAACCTCCAACCCTTCGGTGAGTGGCCGAGTGATTAACCGTTGCACCACCCAGGACTCCATTCTCCTGCTAGCATCTGTGAATTCGCCTGGATTGTCAGCTGCAGTGACCTCACCCCGACTCAGTTACCCTTACTGGTCTCACCTGCAGTCAGAGGGTGACTGAAAATAACCAGGGGGTGGTGTGTGTGTGAACATGTGTGTATGAGTGTGTGTGTAAGGGAATCAAACATTTGGGTTCCTCCCCAGAAAGCACGGCCCCCGGACTGTCAACGCAGAACTAAAACCATTCCTGAGGCCACCTCTCCAGACAAAGATTAGACTGGACTGTGGGACATAAAAGGATACTCGTGAAGAGTGTACTTCTTAGCGCAAGTAGATACGTGAGACTAAATGGGCAGCTCCTGTCTGGAGGTGAGATGAGATGAGAAGGCAGAAAGGGTCAGGAGCTGGTTGAATGGACATGGGCAATCCGGGGTGGAAAGGAGGAGTGTGCTGCCACAGTACAGGGAGAGCAATTAGGGTCACATAATAATGTATGTATAAATTTTTGTATGAGAGACCAACTTGAATTGTAAACTTTCACTTAAACTACAACAATTAAAAAAAAAAAAAATTGGGTTCCTGTTGTATGACTTGAAGTGGTCCCTGGGTGGCGCAAACAGCTTGCCCTCGACTGCTAACCTGAAGGGTTTGAACCCATCCATCAGCAACACAAAAGGCCTGGCAATCTGCTTCCAAAAAATCAGCCATTGAAAACCCTATGGATAAGAACTATCTATATGGAATCAAACTGACAACAGCAACTAGAAATATTAGATAGGGAACTTAAGGGACAGTGAGTTTGTTAACTCAGGAGGAACAACTCAGAAAAGGAGGATGAGCATGTTCCACACCTTGAAGAATGTCATCAACGTCATTACACGCTACACGCAGAAACCGTTGAATTCATGTATGTTTTGCTGGGTATAGTCTCAACAACAAAATTTTAAAAAAATTATTTAAAAAAAAATCCTATGGAGCACAGTTCTACTCTGACACAACCAAGGTCGCCATGAGTCAGAATGGACTCAACCACAATGGATCCGAGGCTTTTTTTTGCGGGGGTTGTGTGACTTGTCAATGTACACCCCCTACTTCTCTTGTACATTAAACTCTTTATGGAGATACATCTGAATAGTTCATCTACTGGAGGGAATGACCTTTTCCTTTGCTGCTGCTGTTCTTTACACTGAAAACTGCGAAAGCCGGAAACTATGTAAGGTGGAGACCCGTCAGAGAAGGAAAACTCAATAATGGAGAGCCAAAGCAAAGTGGTAAAAGTCACCCTGTCAAAGACAGAAAGCTTGTGAGACCCAGTAAAACAAGGCAGTCCCACTGAGTTCCGGCTCTCACAGGTTTCACTGTAGTTTTCTATTTTACCTCTGACTTTTATTTTACATTGTTGTTGGTAGGTGCTGTGGAGTCAGTTTCAACTCATAGCGACCCCATGCACAACAGAACAAAACACTGCCCGGTCCTGCGCCATCCTCACAATCGTTGCTATGCTTGAGCCCATTGTTGCAGCC